GGCCTAAGATGGCCTCAAGATGGCCCAAAACGGTCCAAGAGGCTCTCAAGAGGCCTCCAAGACGGCCCAAGAGGCCTCCAAGAGGTCTTCCAGGAAGGCCCGAAGAAGCCAAAATCATAGATTTCCCTTAGGTGTTTGAAGGATTTTAGCATTTGCGCCTTGTCGGCTTTCCGACGGCCCAAGACGGCCCAAAAGACCCCCAAGGTCGCCCCAAGATCGCCCAAGAGCCCTCCAAGATGGCCCTATGACGGCCCAAGAGGCCCCCGAGACGGTCCCAAGAGGGCCTGAAGACGCCCAAGAGGCCTCCAAGATGGGCAAGATGGCCTCCAAGATGCCTCCAAGACGGCCAAGATGGCCTCCAAGACGGCCAACATGGCACCAAAATGCCTCCAAGACGGCCCAAGATGCACCCAAGACGGCCTTAGATGGGTCCAAAAGGCCCCCACGAGGCCTCCAAGATAGCCCAAGAGGCCTCCAAGAGGTCCTCCAGGAAGGCCCGAAAGGGCCAACATGATTGATTTTCTTTGGTGTTTGAATGATTTTTGCAGTTGCGTCTTTTCGGCTAGGGCCCCCAAGGTCGCCCCAAGAGCGCCCAAGAGGCCTCCAAGATGGCCCCATGACGGCCCAAGAAGCCCCCAAGATGGCCCCAAGAGGGCCCCAAGACGGCCCAAGAGGCCTCCAAAACGCCCAAGATGGTACAAGATGGCCCGCAAGATGCCTCCACGATGGCCAAGATGGCCTCCAAGACAGCTCAGATGGCCCCAAGATGCCTCCAAGACGGGCCAAGATGGCCTCAAGATGGCCTAAGACGGCCCAAAAGGCCCGCAGGATGCCTCCAAGACGGCCCAAGAGCCCTCCAGTACGTCCTCAAGGAAGGCCCAAAAGGGCCAAAATCAATGATTTTCCATAGGTTTTTAAAGGATTCTGGCATGTTCTTCTTTTCAGCTCTGCGACGGCCCAAGACGGCCCAAGAGGCCCCCAATGTCGCCCCAAGAGCGCCCAAGAGGCCTCCAAGATGGCCCCATGACGGCCCAAGAGGCCCCCAAGAAGGCCCCAAGAGGGCCCCAAGACGGCCCAAGAGGCCTCCAAGACGCTCAAGATGGCCTCCAAGACGTCCCTGAGGCGCCCCCTGAGGCCCCCAAGACGGCGTCAGACGGGCCAGGAAAGCCCTAAGACGGCCAAAGAGGCCCCCAAGAAGCACCCGAACGCCCCCAGCAGGCCCAAGGAGGTCCCCAAGAGGCCTCCAAGAGGCCCCCAGGAAGCTCCCAGCAGGCCCCAAGAGTGCCCCAAGAGGCTCAAAGAAGCCTCTTTCTCCTCCTCCTACTCCTACTCTTGCTCTTCCTATTTCTCTTCCTCTTCGTGTTCATTTTCCCCCACATGTTCCCCGAAGGCTTTCCGAACCGACTCGGGGAACACATGGCCGATAGCTTGTCAGACCTCTGACCACAACGTTCAGCCACATCGGCGTTTCCAAAAAGGCAGGGGGCGGCGGTGATTCGCCGTAGGCGTCTTCGATACCAAACAGATATCCGCCACAGTGCCCCCTGGCACGTTGAGGCGTGTAGAACCTGGGCCGGCACGGGAACGGAAAGAGCGCTTGAGGAACTTGCACGAGATGGCTCATGGCACCCTTCGCTCTTGGGAGCCTTGGTGTTGAGAGCTTGTTACGTCACCGCTCGCTCTTGGAAGCCCTAGTGTTCAGAGATTGTTACGTTGCCGCTCGCTCTTGGGAGCCTTGGTATTGAGAGCTTGTTACGTCACCGATCGCTCTTGGGAGTCTTGGTATTCAGAAATGATTACGTTGCCTCTCGCTCTTGGGAGCCTTGGTGTTGATAGCTTGTTACATTGCCACTCGCCCTTGGGAGCCTCGGTATTTATCATTGCTTATGTAACCGTTCGCCTTGGTGTTACGAGCTTGTCACGTCACCGCTCGCTGTTGGGAGCTTTGGTGTGAAGAGCTTTTTGCGTTACCGATCGCTCTGTCATGTGGCGTCTCTGGGCCTTCTTGGGGTCCTGTGGGGGCTCTTTTAGACTGTATTGGGGCCCTCTTGGGCCGTCTTGGGGCCCTCTTGGGCCGTCTTGGGCCCTCTTGGACGCTTTTGGCCGTCTTGGCGCTCTCTTGGCGGCCTCTTGGGGCCCTCTTGGGAGCCTCTGGGGCTCTCTTGGGGCCTCTTGGGGCCCTCTCGGGCCGTTTCGGGGCCCTCTTGGGCCGTCTTGGGGCCCTCTTGGGCCGTTTTCGGGCCTTTCCGGGGGCCTCTTGGGCCGTCTTGGGGCGATCTTTGGAGCCTCTTGGGCCGTTTTCGGCTGTTTTTTGGTTCGAAAATGCGAGAACCCAAAAATCATTAAAATGCTTATTGAAAATCAATGGTTTTTGCCTCCTGAGTGGCTGTTGGAGGTCCTCGTGGGGGCCTCTTGGGGCGTCTGGGGGGTCTCTTAAGCAGTCTTGGGGGGCATCTTCGCTTCTCTTGGAACGCTTTTTGGCTGTCTTGGGGCCTCTTGGGCGTCTCTTGGGCCGTCGTGGAGGTATCCTAAGCCGTCTTGGGGACCTCTTGGAGGTATCTGGAGCCGTCCTGGGCCGAAAAAGCCGCCAACTTGGCCCCCGAAGGCCGTGTTAGAAAATCGCGGTCGGCCAGCCCCCCCCCCCCCCCATTTGGGCTAAAGCCTTGTGCAGAACTTCTCTCGCTGGCGCTCCTTCCGTCATGCCAAGTGCTGTCTGGTAGGGTTTCTGTCATCTTTCTAAGGGCGCCCCCCCCCTCCCGGGTCGCGCCCACCCGGGTGCATCGCCCCCTCTTTTCGAGGCTCTGTCGGCGCCAAGACACGTCCCTGGCGCTTTCCAAGGCGCCCAAGACGCCCAAGATCTTCCAAAACGGACCTGGGAGGCCACCAGGGCCGCCAGGATGGCCCAAGATGCCTCCATGACGGCCAAAGAGGCCCCAAAGAAGCCCCAAGAGCGCTCCAAGAGGACTCCCGAGAGGGCCCCAACACGCAAAAAGCAAAGATTTCCATTGAGATTTTCAATGGTTTTCATGTTATCGCCTTTTCGAGCTTCCGACGCTCCAAGACGGCTCCAGGGGCCCCCAAGAGCGCCCCAAGACGTCCCGAGAGGCCCCCAAGAGGGTCCCAAGACGGCCCAAGAGGGCCTCCAAACGGCCTAAGAGGCGCCCAAGACAGCCCAATATAACTCCCAGACGGCCCTAAGAGAGGTCCAATAGAGGGAATAAGCACCGACAATTCGATCCTTGTGCCCGAAGAGGCCCCCAGGGAGCCCCAAGGGGCCTCCGAGTAGTCCCAAGAGGACCCCAAGAGGCCTTCAAGAGGCCCCCAAACAGCCTCCAAGATGCCTCAAAACTGCCTCCAACAGGCCCCCGAGAGGCTTCTCACGATAAATATCCCAACGAGCATCCAAGATGCCTCCGATGCCCTCTCGAACAATCGCCACCGAACATGCTGGACTGGCCGGGTGGCGGACTTGCCGCAGGCAGCTGGATATTTGTACACCGTTTATATCTAAATCATGTACAAACCTGTGAGAAAGCACACCATGCTCGAACACTCAACACTTGTCACGTTCTGGCCCAACGGAATAAACAATAAATATCAAAACATGTGAACAACTACAAAACATGCTGAATAATATCAACACACCTGAAATTATTATATTTGGGGATCAGTGCACCGTGGAGACCGGGCAGTGCGCATCCGCTCTGCAAAAATCCCTTGCGTCCAAATGGATGCCCCCAGACGCCCGCCATCCCAACCTCCCGGGCATCGTTTCTATTGCCATCGTCACTTTCGTTGCAAAGATTGTGCTGTGTCGTAGTCTGCTCGCGCCTCGTACTACGCCAGCATAAGCAGACAAGTGATATTCTGCTCTCTCGGCAGAATGCATGATATCCGCCGACCCCCGCTTGCCGGGGGTGAAAAGGCGTGTGGGATTATTGGCTGTCCCCCTCCCCCTCTCCCCCTCCCCAAGAGCCCCAAATCCAGTTAAAGCCGCCCCCTCGTGGGGGTACAAGCTCTCCAACGCGCCTCCGGAGCCTCCGGAACCTCCAAAAAGCCCCAAGAGGGTCCAAACAGAGCGCCAAGATAATCCAAGACAGCGTCGAGACGGCCCAGGGGAGCCCGACGACGGTCCAGTGTGGCTTGGAGACGGCCCACAAGGCCCCCGAGACGGCCCAAGAGTGCTCCCAGACAATCGCCGAGAGAGCCCCGAGAAGGGAAAATCTTCCCATTTCAGTCGGAAAACGTACATTTTTAGCAAACTCGCCTTTTTCGTCTTGACAGCGTCCAAGACGGCCCAAGGGGCCCCCAAGATCGTCCCAAGACGGCCCATGCGGCCCCAAGACGGCCCCAGGACGGCCCAAGAGGGCCCCAAGACGGCCCCAGGGCCCCCCAAGACGGCCCAAGGGAGCCCCAAGAGAGCCCCAAGAAGGGCCCAAGATGGGAAACACCGAACTGACATTTCGACCCTTTCCCCCGCAGATGGCCCCAGGAGCCCCGCACAAGCCCCCGACGCGCCCCCAAAAGGCCCCAAGAGGCCTCCAAGAGGCTCCCATGAGAGGCATCCCAAGAGCCCCTCATATGCATCCAAGAGGCTCCTGACCCATTGGATAGCTTCCACGATCGTCGCGAGCTCTCACTCCTTCAGGGGGTCGGCGGAATGGCGAAAGCCACTTGAATAAGGGAAACCATTCAACAACTACCGTTGAAGAACACTCTATGTCTGCTTGCAAACGCGCCGCGTACTACACCGGCATATGAAGACTAGTGCAAATTCTGCACACTAGGCAGAATACACGACACAAGTGCAATCTGTCAAACTGCCATGTGCACACAAAACCCAAATTCCTGCACAATCCTATGCACACAGCCCCACCCACCATGCCGCTGGCATGTCAGGTGGATGATTCGGTCTTGATACTTGAGGTCCAAACCCAAACAACCTTGCCACATCTTGCAACTCCTTCACACTGCGCCCGTCTCAGGCGAAACACCATGATCTACACTTCTTTAACCAGCAAGCCGTAGGGCCTCACATCCTTGGGGTCCACCGTCCACTCCTGATTGATTCCAGATCCATCTGGGTATCCTTCGTTGATGATGGAGCCAGGCCGCACGGCCACTTGCAGCATGTACGAGAAAGCCTTTGGCCCACTGGTGGTCTGAAGCTGAATCTTTGCGCAATAATGCGCCTCTGAATACTGGGATTTTGGAGTGACATATACGCCTGCACCCAACTTACCACCAGCGCTTGCACGGAAACCACCGTCGACAATCTTTTTGGGTGCGCTAGGATCGTTTGACCTGCCCGTGCTATGGAATGCTCGATACCAATTACCTGCGTCCTGGAACGGGTGCAACCATGTGTCCCCCGTGTATTTTCCAAGGACTTTGAAGCCATAACGGGTCCAACCGCATGGCTGGAAGTACGTGCGCTGCTTGCCTGGTGGGCCCACCTGATGTGTGCTCGAGAACTCATGGCTGCTCTTGTTGCCCTTCTCGTCCATATCGTCCAAATTAAAGTGGAGTGCCAGCACCGCCGGCGACACCTTGAGAGCAACGAACGTGTCGAACTGATTCCGGAGCTTCCCAGTGACATCAGCCTGCAAGATGCGCTCCTTCTCTTTGAGCGTCAGGTCGGAGACCGTGTACTTCAGATGAATACTGCCACTCTCTATGGCTGTGACGTTGACCTTGCTCACATCCACACCAAGGCTGGACGCAATCCGATCTCTGGCGCCATCTATGAAATCGCGCTTGGCGCGGGTGTCCGAGCGCAACTCTTCTATGGATGAGGACCGGCACCAACTCGGGGGAGAGGACAACTTGAGATCCCAATCTTCTTCTTCCTCCGGAACTCCCTGCGCGAGCGAGTGCAGTACATGCAGCGCGCTGCCATTCGTACTGCCATGCCGCCCAAAGCTCACAGGCCGGTTGCCCGCCATGGCCTTTTTTTTGTTTGCTCTTCATGTTTAACTATTTTCATTGTGTTATCTCAGTTTTTACTAACTAATCCCCCGCATTCTAAGTGGGGGCTCTGCTTTCTCTGGACACCCCCGCGCAGGAGAACACCTCATCCTGTCTCTCCTCCCCATTTCCTTTCAACTTCATCATCACCAACAACAACAATCCCATTACCATCACCACCACTGGCCATAAGCATCATCGTCATTAGCATCATGATCACCGCTGCCATCATCATCTCTATCACCTTCACCAGCAGCATATCATTACCGTCATCCTCATCACCATTGCCATCACCACCATCGCCACCATCACCATTACCATCATCATCAGCATCCGCATCATCAGCATCATCAAGATCATCATTGTCATCACCATCCACCATCATTCAACATCATCGTCGTCGTCATCGCCAACACCAACATCACCATCAACAACGTCATCCTCAACATCCGTAATAATCTTCCGTATGGTCGTCGTCATCATCATCGATGTCGCCATATCATCGTCGTAATCGCCTTCGACATCGTCAGCATCACCATCACCATCACCATCATCACCACGATGCCTGAGTATGGAGGACATCTCGAGCGGGAGCCCCTCCCTGTGGAATCCCCACCTCCATGTTCGAATCCGAGCGGGATATCCGGAACCTGTAACTGTCGTCACGCTTGGGCTCCTGAGGCCTGATTCTAAAAAAGGAAACGTCGAGCGGGAGCCTCGTCTGCGAGTGAATCGCGAGGACCTCTCGAGCGGGAGGCCCTCCCTACGGGGTCACCACCTCCCTATTCGAACCCGAGCGGGGTATCCGAAACCTGTAACTGTCGTCACGCTTGGGCTCCTGAGGCTTGAATCTTCAGGACGTCTCGAGCGGAAGCCCCGTCGGTGAGTGAATCGCGAGAAACTCTCGAGCGGGAGCCCAGCCCTGCGGGGCCCCCACCTCCATGTTCGAATCCGAACGGGGTATCCGAACCCTGTAACACTCGTCACTTTGGGCTCCTGAACCGAAAGGAAATATCGAGCGGGAGCCTCGTCTGTGAGTGAATCGCGAGGAACTCTCGAGCGGGAGCCCCCCCCTACGGGGTCCCCACCTCCACGTTCGAATCCGAGCGGTTTATCCGAAGCCTGTGACTGCCGTAACTTGTGGGCTCCTGGTGCCTGAACCTGAAGGATATCTCGAGCGGGGGCCCCGTCTGTGACTGAATCGCGAGGACCTCTCGAGCGGGGGGCCCTCCCTACGGGGTCACCACCTCCCTGTTCGAACCCGAGCGGGGTATCCGAACCCTGTAACTGTCGTCACTTTTGGGCTCCTACGGCCTGAAACTAAAGGAAGGCTCGAGCGGGAACCTTGTAAGTGAATCTCGAGGAACTCTTGAGCGGGAGCCACCTCCCAAGCAAACTAAACGGATTCTCATGTGGGGTCACACCGTCAGAGTAATCTGTTTGTTTGGATTGCCCGCCATAGCCTTGAGGATATGCGGCAAGATTGCTCGATCGGCCTCGTTGGATGGCTCTTGGGACAACACATGCTGAGTGAACGACATTGCAGACTTGAACTCCGCCTGCACACTTTGCAAATCGCGTGCCTGTCCCCATTGCGAGCGACTCAGCAAATCCATGCCTGCATGCTCGTCACGATCCGTCCAGGCGCGTCCGCAGCGCGCGCACCGACCGGGCTGGCCCTTGTATTCCCAATGGCGCTCCATAATCCCCACCGCCACCGTACCCGTCAGGATGCTGCCCACTCCCCAGAAGGGAAGGCCGACAGCAGCAGAGGCGACGAGCTTCACCTTTGCTTCAGCATGGCACTCGCGGCAAAGAAAATGTTCGCCCCAGCACGGCATGAGGTGGCCTCTCGTCGAGAAGGGCTGCCAACGGAAGAGGCCTCTCGTCGAAGTGGCTTGAGCCAAGGTCGCTGCGGCTCGCGGGCATCCCGAGTCTGGGACGATGCTGGCTTTTTTCATGTTCTTTACATGTTCTCATTGTTTCCCCTCACGACTTAATTTCCGGGGGCGAGTGCTCAAGAAGTGAACGCTACAGTGGAGCACCGGGGGCTGACATACGCCAGGGCCACGCGTATCTTTTCTGTGAGGTTTGGGGGCCCTGGGACGCGTTCTATCAGCTGCGCGCAGAGGATGATGATGATGATGATGATGATGATGACGACGATAACGACGACGACGACGATGAAGATGACGACGACGACGATAGCGGTGATGATGATGATGATGATGATGATGATGATGATGATGATGATGATGATGATGATGATGATGATGATGCCGTGGCCGATGCCGATGGCATGGCCATGACGATGACGACGACGACAATGCTGATGCTGATGCTGGTGGGCTATCGTGATTACGATGATGATGGTGATGATGAAGGTGATAAAGAGGATGATTATGATGATGATAATGCTGATGCTACTGGTTATGAAGATTATATATGGTGATGACCGGGTACTGGCCTTCGGGTCGGGGAGCTGGGCTCATCCACGCCGTGTTACATTCCATGCACAGGCGCTGGGGCCCCTCGAGGCCACCAGCCAGACGTGCGTTTGCCGCTACCCACCCTGCTGCCTGAGGCAAGCAGGGCCGATGGCAGCATCCGCCGCGAAGACCCCCGACGGCCAGAGGGCACCGGGCCCGCGGCGGCGTGCCAGGGCCTCCCAAGGCCCAGGCCAGCGCCGCCAAGAATTCCGAGCCGAATCCACCCGACGAGGAAGGCGCCCGCAGGTAAGATTATAATGATGACGATGATGACGGCGGTGGCGGTGATAGTGGTGATGATGCTGATGGTGGTGGTGGCAGTGGTGGTTGTGATGATGATGATGATGATGATGATGATGATGATGATGATGATGATGACGACGATGACGACAACGACGATGGTGTTGATGATGATGATGATGTAAAATGACGGAAGTGATGATTCTGTTGGTAACGGTGATAACGACGGTCATGATGACGGTGATGGTGATGGTCATGGTGGTGGTGGCTGCAATGATGAACATTAGAATGGCGACAATTGCGATGATACTGAAAATAAGGATGACCATGAACTTGATAACGAAGATGTTGTTGATGATGGTGACGATGACGTGGAAGGTGATCTACCACCGTGCCTTGGCACATTGAGGCGTGGAATAATGCCAAGGGCTGCCTGGCAGGGTTTCTGTAGTCTTCTAAGGGATCCCCCCACCTCACTTCGTTGACTGCATCGCCCCTTTTCCCGGGGATGGCGCCTCCCTGGAGCTCGCCAAGGCTTCCATGACGGCCCAGGAAGCCCACCCAGGCCGCCAAGATGGCTCCAGGACGGCCCAAGATTGCCTCCAGACGGCCCAAGAGGCCTCCAAGAGCCCTCCCAAGAGGACCCCAAGAGGCAACATTCATAGATTTTCATTGTGTGTTTGAAAGGTTTTGGCGTTCTCGCCTTTTCGGGTTCCCGACGCTCCAAGACGACACAAGGGGCCCCCAAGATCGCCCCGAGACGGCCCAAGAGGCCTCCAAGAGGCCCCCAAACGACCCAAGAGGCCTCCAAGACGGCCCAAGAGGCCCCCAAGACGGCTCCAAGAGGAGACCCAGACGGGGGACCCGAACGCACATTTCGAGCCCTCGGCCCCGAGAGGCCCTCAGAAAGCCCCGAAAAGCCCCCAATAAGCCCTCCCAAAATCGCTAGGAGGCCCAAAACTGCCCTCCGGAGGCCCCCGAGAGCGCTCCGAAGAGACCCCAAGGAGCACCCCTGAAGACTATGACCCCAAGGAGCATCCCTGAAGAGACAGCTTTCGAGCATAGCCTGAGGCCAGGGGGGACTGGGACGGAAGGGGAGGGGACGGAAAGGAAGGGAGAGGAGGGGAAGGGCGGGGCAGGGGAGGGGAAGGGAGGAATGGAAGGAAAGCGGAGGGAAAGAGAGGGAGACAAACGGGGTGGGAGCGGAGGGATGAGACGGAAGGGGACAGGAACAGAGGAGAGGGAGAGGAGAGCATGGGACGGAAGGAGACATGATGGAAAGGGAGGGAAGAGGAGGGGAGGGAAGAGGGGAGAGGGGCGGAAGGTGAGGGATGAAGGGAAGGAGGCGGGAACGGGAAAAGAAACACTCCACTTCCTCCTCTTGACGGGGTTGGCCGCGAGGTGTCAGAGGGTCCATTTTGGCCCAAGATCATTCCAAGATCGTCCCAGATAGTCCAAGTCGGCCTTCAAGATCACGCAAGATGGTCCGATTCGGTTCATTATGGATTTCAGCATGCCTCCAAGTGGCCCCAAGAGAGCGCCAAGATGGCCCGAAGTGGCCACGAAGCCTCCCAAGAATGCCACCGAAGCTCGAGGCTTATCAGTGATGTTTGCCTTCTCGCCTTTTCGCCTACGATGGGCTTTGAGACCTCAAGGCGTCCCCAAAATCGCTACACCCATCCCTCGGATTGCTTTGCTCCGTTACTCTTTCGCGAACCCTTAAGGAACCTTCTCTTTGAACTCGTACATGGAGATCTTGATTGGAGTCCCTCTTTCTTTGAGCTCGTCGCTTGTCCAAAGTTCTCAGCTTTTCGTGGGAATTTTGCAACGGTGCGTATACATATGCCTTTCGGCAGTTTGCGTCCGCCGGGCACTGAGCATGCTTGGTGAACTCGAGTCCGTATGCCATGAGCTCGCCATCGGTACATGGCATGCGCGACAGTTGCCAGCATCTCGAGCACAACAGTGTCCGGGTGCTCTGTGAGCTGGTGCTATAATTTGGCGCTTGTAGTACAGTTTGCCACGTCACACTCTCCCATGTGGAGGCTCGACGTTGGTCGCGCCGGCCGCGCCGGCAACAGTCCGGACAAGTCGGGCGCGCGCGCGCCGCGCGGGGCGCCGCCAGCAGTGTGATTGCGTTGGCCGCGGCGCTCCAACGCAGAAAAATATGTGTACCACCCTCTGGAAGCACGCCCAGGTTGGCAGGGAAAACCATTGTATGTGCGCCGAGCGTTTGTTTGTACAAGGAG